ATTCATTCATCACAGACTAATGGTCAGGGACTAATTAATGTAGATGTTAATTCCTACTGTACGTCAAATGTAATGAAAGACTCCTGTGGAGTAGATTTTACAAGACTTTAGGGGGACGGGGAGCAGACAGCAACGTCAGGTTATCATAAATAAGCTGCTTAGTTTAAAATAAAAACTATTTAAAAACAAAGGTTGGTGTAAGTGTTGTATAAAATAAAAACAAATCTTGGATTCAAACCAATTTGTTCGACTGTAGGTTATACTTGACCTACAGTAATACATATTTTTTTATGTAATGTGCAACCTAGCTCGCTAGCTAGTTTGTTAGATATACAGTATAGGAGAAAGGTAAATATATTTTGCTCCTGAGATTTAGGAAAAGAAGGAATACCAGGAGTACAAGACATGTGAAAGAACATAAAGAATTAATACACACCAGGCACATATTAATAGTATAGAGTTTAATATAGTCAAAGATTTATGTTTTGGCTGCAAAACTTATATTATGGTTCCGTTCACTGAGTCCATCCATGCCAAAAACAACCTCTCTGAGTCTGTCTTCCGGTCTGGGAGTCTGTCATAGCTCTGTGTACACTTGAGAGTGTGTGTTCAAGTGTGTTTATGTGTGTGTGTGTCAGTATCTATGTCTGTCTGAGTCTTGGAAACGGTCCTGTTGCCAAAATCACAGCCTGACTTAATCACAAGGAGAAAGTCTGAGAGGTTTCTCCAGTGGGAAAGGAGGAGGACTCGAAGGAGAAGGAAGAAGAGAAGCAGGAGGAGGAGGAGGAGGAGGGATTATTAATGTTGTTTAAATGGACGCTCTCTGTAGTTACTGTACGTTCTGTAGGTCTATTGTCTGGTGGTTATAAAACCGGTGAGTCAGAAAGTCTGACGCTTCCTCCACGCTGGTGAGTAGGTTACGACATCTGGCTGTTGGATCGTCTTTATTATTAATTCCATTACACAGCAGTGAGACGGCGTCTCAGTGGTGACTTCCAGGTGTAGGTTTGTAGTTTGTGTGAACTTTTTTTGTGTGAGTAAATGGACATAATTTAAAGGACGAATCTGATGTTTTTATCGAAAGTGTGTTGTTAATTGTTTTTATGACCTCTTTCTGTGCTCATAATATCATTACAAGTTCTATGCAACATGAACTGTTCCCATTGAGACACAGATGTGCAGTGTACTTGTGATGATGACACAAAGCCAGCAGACACAGACCTGTTGTCAAGATTGCAGCAAACACACACACAGACACAAAAAAAACCAAAAGCAATTTAATTATTTAAACATTTGTCTTTTTATTTTGTCCAAACAGCGGAGCGTCCAGAGGTCAAGGAAACTATAAACAGCACCTGGAGAAATGCTCAACTCACCAAGGTACGTTCTATGTGTTTAAGACACCATGTACTGAAAGCTGCACTGAATAAAGGCCACACCTCAGAGGTGCTATGTTTTTATTAAGTTAGGACAAATAGTTTGTCATGAGAACTGACATTTAAATCAGGGACAGGTGAGAGAAGAAAGACAACAAACTGTCCTCCTGTCCTTTATTCAACAACCTGTTTGGTTCAGGCATGGAGGAGGAGGAGGAAGAAGAAGAGAATTAATGTTAAAAATGTGAGGATTAAAAACAAAGGGTGTGAACCACATTGAGCAGCATTAGCTGTAATGACACGACATCAATGGGTAAATATTATATTTCATATGACAAGACAGAAATAGCACTGCAGTCAATGCTCAGTAACCAAAAAAAAAAACCCACACTTTTTTTATTTCACACTTTGTTCACATGAGAAAAAAAATTTAAAGGGCAAATTCCTAAACTTCTAGTACATTTTGCCCTGAGCCCCTATAAATTTTACAGCCTGTACAGTAAGTGAGATATTTGACAAATGATTCAGGGAGGTGTTTAAGAAGTTTTTGGAACTAAAACCTTATCAAAAGTGCTGCTCTAAATATATATTTTTTTAAATAACCAAGAAACCCTCAGACTGTTGAGGTACTGTATCAATGATGCTACGCTGTAGTTAGACTCTGCATGATGTGAAGCCAGTCATGAGTTTAAACCCGCTGACTCACTGGTGAGACGATGAAGTGCGGCGAAGCAGCGCCTCCTGGACCCGCTGTAAAGAGACCCCGAGTCGCCTGTGACATTCGTTCACAGTTTAAATATAGAGCTCCAGTGGAGCAGAGCGGCCCGTAATCTGAATCCAAACACCCCCTCGTAACCCCGCGTGCGCAGGACGGAGCCTTCGGAGCCAAAATCTTGATGACTTCACATCTGCTAAACCAATAAAAAGCAACCACAAGATTGTCTTGTCTGACGGTCTCTGCTCTGACTCTTGGCAGAGAACATGAGGAGCCTGTTGGAGAGAGATAGAAGCAAAAAAAAAAAAAAAGCTAAATCTTAGTATAAAATTTACATCGCAAAATGTACCGCTAGCCTATTCCTTGTAGCGGCCCACTTGCAGCTCAGACACAACCTCAGCGCGGCTCAGTCTGTGGTCATTTAAGAAGTGTGGAGTGAAACATGGAGAATCCCAGTTGGCAAATGATCCACAATTCATACAGATGACAGACTAATGACCCAACACCCACGTGTATCCTAGCAACATGCAGCACACAATGCATCCCTTAAGTGGTTTAAAGACTTGTGCTTAGAACTGTTAACGCTTTACTATACAAATACCAAAAACCTCTGTCCCAAAATGTCAGACCCAGTTACATTCCTTGTAGATTTTTCATATGTATATTTATATTTTGGTTTTGTCATGTGCTCAGGTCTGGTAGCTGGGAAAATGGAATAAATCATCACACAGGTCAACACTTGACAAAGATGTGACGATAAAACTTGTCAAAGCCATGGAGACCTGTGTGAACATGTTTTAGTGATTAAAATCAGGCTGTTTTCAAATTATTCGGTCTGTATTTTTAGATAAAAGACAAAGAAAAACCTACCATTTGGTGGAGGCTCCTTTCAAACCCAATGTTGATTTCCAAAAATGTAAACTTCCAGAATATGACTTGTACTTTTGTCTGCCCCAACTTGTTGGTATTGACTGTAATAAATCTTTAATCCACTAGAGGGAGGTAACGTCAAACTTCCTTACTTTTGTGAAGGTACATTGTGTAAACATTCTCCAGTGATTCAATTTCAGTTGGCTCTTTTATGACTCCTTTGCTCATTTCTAATTGTCACATAAAACCGCATCTTTTAGTTTTTTACTACCCCCTGGTGGTAAAAATAGCACTTTACACACCAACGTCAAAAACTCTTTTTTTATATAAGTATTTTTGCATGTTTTTTATGGACTTTTTTTGTACCTACACACCAACGTCAAAAACTCTTTTTTATATATATATATGTATTACTGCATGTTTTTTAAGGACTTTTTTGTAGTTTCTTTTTGCGCCAGAGGGGGTACCAAGCTTCATCAGAGTGTTGGACTAGTGTTGATCCACAGCAGTTAATCATTCATCCATGATGTCAGCACATGTGTATAAATGTAAATTGGTGTCTGTTATCATTTCAGGATCCAGTGATGCACTGCAGGGAGAATCGAGTCAAAGCTCAGCTGATGGCGAGCGGCCGACTGGAGGCGACCAGAGTTCAACTGCAGCGGTGCCTCCAGCAGGCCATCGACTTATTCAGCAGCAAAGAGATTTCACCGACACAGGCGCAGAGGAAACAGGTACGCCGGCTAAACCTAAACATTGGAAGGAAAATTCCTACACTATACAGTTGTTTTTTTAAATCAAATATTCTAGATTTGAGTTTTGGTGGGATGTGTTTGTGAAACTTTTGTGAAATATCTTTTCAAACCTGTTCTCCACCTGTTATGTTAAATGTAAAAAAACAAAAACAAAAACAAAACACAGGTTTAGTCATGCCCAGGAATGACTTTACCATGAACAACACCCAGACTTTATTTTTTTCCCCACGGATCTTCATTAGAAAAACACACCTTCATTTGAGGTTCTGTGGTTTCTGCTGCTTTGTTTTTGTACCAGATTCCCATATGTGTGTGTGTGTGGGTGTGTGTGTGTGTTTTGATTACCTTGTGGTCTGTCTGTGATGATGCAGTGGGCGTTAGAGATCCTACAGCCTGTCGTCCTCGAGGGGTTTCTGGAGGCTGTGGAACATTGTGCGACTTTCTGCTCTGAGAAGCAGCTTGAGGATGTGATGTTCCTCTCTGAGTCAGTCCGACAGCAGTGGGAGGTAGGAGAGGTTTTTATTATTATTATTATTATTATTATTTTGTCAGAGCCATATTTGAAATGTTAACAGTTCAGTTTGGAAGCTTGAGAAATTGAATAGTTACCGTCAGTTATCTTAAAGCAAATTCCTTTTTGTGAGGTATTTGAAATGAACAAGTAATATGTTAATTAATTTATGGAATAATAATAATCATTTGTGAATAATTCTGCTGTCCATTTGCACAAATAATCATGATTAATCATGATGTATTTTTTTGTGTGTCTCTCTCCGGTTGTTTGCATAGAAATGTCTGCTTTTGTTCCAGACTTGTGGTCAAAGATCAGAGAAGGAACTCCATCCTGGTCTGTTGGGCAAAGTACAACCACCGAGCGGTCAGACCAGGAGGTTTCCCGGCGTCAACAGGTACGTGCACCACCCTGTAACATCTCAGTGACATCCGACTGAGTCAGTGACACTCAGCCACATAAAAGCTGAGAAGAAAAGGCGGTTGTTTTCAAGTCATACGGCGCTTCTGTTTCCATCAGGATGTGGTGGATGAGGAGAGATGTGTGGAAGAAGAAGTGGAGCAGCTGAAGGAAGTGGACAGAGCAGAGGAGACACGACTCACTGACACGGTTTCAGAGCCGACGGCTCACAGGTAAAAAGAAGATCCTTGAATGATTGAAATAATTACAGTATTTTTTTTACTTTGTTTTGTCTGAACTGGTACTGATCTGATGCATGAAGCTGCTGTGAGTGTGTTTAACATATATCATGTGTGGATTTTAAACCAAAGTCCTGTATAGATAATTTTTGTTGACATAAAAATTTTTAATTAATATGATTCTCCAAATTAAATTTATTTTTTAAAATGTATTTTTCCAATGTATTTTTTTTTTAAATATGTGTTTTTACTACAAAACCAAACCAATAAAACATTTACTAAAGAAGATTCTTTAAGAAGACTTTTAGGGAAATTACACTGAATAAGTTCAGTCGTAGCATCTGGAAGTTTCTGAGAATCAGACATGACTTAAGTCTCTTTAACGAGTCTTGAATCCATCGAAGTACAAGTGTAGGTAGGCTGCCTCCTTCAGTCAAGGTAGGCTTATTTCACCTGTGTCGCCCGGCGACAGCTGACTGTGACCTGTCTCTGTGATGAATATTTCTGATCGCAGCAGGGAACGTGATCACAGAGGAGTCGCTGGGCTGAGAGCGACTGACACGACGCAGGACACACAGAGAGACGGCGGTCTGTCACAGAAACCAAACTGGGACCACGAGAATCAAAGTCCCCGTCCTGACACGGACTCACAGTTACTGCATGATCAAGCCCTGCCAATGGGATGTCAGGACACCGGGACAAAAAGGAAGGACGGAGCCACAGAAGTCGGAGCTGCTGAGTTCACACTAAACCAACGGTCTTCACATGAAGGAGCAGAGGAGGAGGAGCAGCTGAGGACTGATCCAGGACAGGTGACAGGGAGCAGTGGGCAGTCGCACCGTCATGTCCAGGTATCGCCACCAGGGTTTCATCATTAATTGACTTTGTTTTAGTTATAAGTTACAACTTATTATATATGTTTTGTTTTGTCTTATTTTCTGAACTGAAACAAACACTGAAGCTGAAGAGTATTTTGAATAATAATATAATAGTGATATTTAGATGTTTCTGCACTCAGGTATTTTCTTTTAAACTTTTTTTTTTTTTTGCATGAGCTCTTTAGGGACAAAGGGACAAATTATATGATACATGTACATGTATATATTTTTATTACATGCAATTATAAACATCTGATGTGTTTTTATCCTCTTGTCCTGTTTGCTTCACCTAAAAAAACATTTATACATCTTTACATAACAGCCAGAAAAGTTGCTTTTTTCTGGCTTTTTTTCTTCACAATGACTGAAGTTGTCATGTAGATGAATGATTATTATTATTATTATTATGTCCAGGCAGTTGTTAATGAGCCTGTATTCAAACCTCTTCCTTTCATACAGTATATATTATGTTCTGAGCAGCTCTCTCTCTCTGTGTCTGTCTCTCTCTCTGCTCAGTCATTGGTTCTGTAGAGAAACTGCAGCAGCTGCAGAGCTCTAATCCTCTGTAATAGGATCGACCGCGCTGCCCCACCTCCTCCTCCCTTCTTCTCTCACGGTCTCTCCTGTCTTTCAGGTGGTCTTCAGAAGGGACACGCTGGAGACAGGGCGGGGGGCAGAATTGAACACCCTACCAGGGACTGATGCTGCACCTGCACCACCACCACAGGAAGACCGTCCCTCTGAACAGGAAGTACTGCAAAGGTACGGGTCCACAAAACTGTTAGAGTTAGAAGAAGTGACGGATCACGGCCGCTGGGTTTGAGTTGAATGAAAGTTCACTTCTACGACCTGATCTGAGAAAATACAGGCAAGAGGAAGTGTCACTTCTTACTCCATTAGTGACCCAATAAACAAAACAGAAATAATATATATATATTAATTCTATATTTCCTATTTATCACCTTGGGAAAATCACCTGGATATTTATTAATCTTTCTGGAGCTTCTAGTCGTGTTCCATCCTCTTTTTCAACATCTGACCAACCCTAACATTTCGTTTGTTTTTCTAACATTTGTTTGCATCAGGATGACATACACAGAGAAACCCACTGAACTGATGGGCTCTGAAAATGATCCCATGTCCCTGGCATCACTCGGGGTTACCAATGACTCGCTGGAAAATCAAGCAGAGCAGAGCAGTGAAACGGAGGGACGAACCCTCAAACCCACAGCCGCCCCTGAGGTTCTCCCCGGTGGTGCCGTCGTCACTGACCTCCAGCAGTTCAGGCAGCATCTGAGGGACGTCAAGTTTGCTGCTCAGGCCGTGGATCAGTTCTTGGCCATTGTGAGGGACGTGGAGGCCAAGATCCCGGTCCTCCTGGCGGACCTGGACACGAGCCGGCAGCAAGACGAGGCCGATGAGAAACTGGCGAGACAACCCCAGACGACAGGACCACGCCAGGGGAACGAAGACGAGATGAATCCAAGTCCCTGTCTAGCAGAGGCTGCAGGTGATGCACCGCAGCAGGAGGTGACACTCGAGGAAGAACCTTCTCCTCCTGTCCCTCTAAGTGAGGTGGGAAAGGAGACAAGGCTGGATGTTGAAGTTAATCTCCTGGATGGAGAAGGAGATTCAAACAGGGGCGGGAATCAAGAGCAAACATCACAGGTGTTGAGGTCAAACGAAGATGCTGAGAAACAGAGAAGAGGAAGAAGAAGAAGAGGCCAGGCCAAGGAGAAGGAGGACTTCCTCCAGAGGAGAGCAGCTCTGGTCACAGCACTGAGGGACGTACAGGGAGCAGCTGAATGTCGGAAGCTCCAGGAGGCCACACTTCCTGCTCTGCAGCGCAGGTAAAACACAGCTGCCCTAATGACCCGGAGACGAAGAGCTCACGGTGTAATATTAACAAGAATATTAACAAGAATATTAACAAAAATTAAGAAGTTTCAGACACTTTTTTTACTTTTTATTTATTATTATTTTGTATTTATTAACGTTTGTTAACACCAAAGATAATATTTAAAAATATTTTTCAATATAGTATAGTACTCTGACACTTAAATGTGTATATATATATATATTTTTTTTATTTTTTATTTTTTTTTTAAATTTTTCATTCATTTCAAGTGGAACCTTAGTTGTCGAAAAAACATTTTGAACTCAAAATTGCAGCGATTGAACAGGCCAACAATACCACGTGGGCAGCAGATGATCACTGAGTGATTGATTGAGCGTGTGACGTCACTCGAGCCTCGGAGTATACGCGCTGAGAACTTTTGTCTGATTTTGATTTTTTCTTTATTCCATAAATCACCATGGGACCTAAAAACGCTAGTGAAAGTATAAAGAAAAGAAAAGTAGTGAGAACAACAACACAAGTGAAGAAATGTTCGTGTTTCAGATCTGTCTTTACGATATGGAAAGTCGTGGATTTTTAGCATAATTAAAAACAAGGACGCGATAAAAGAAGCCAATGTTGTCGAAGGAGCGACTGTGATCAACCAGAAAAGATCTCAGACATTAGAAGAAATGGAAATTTTGCTGCTGATTTGGATCAACCAGAAGCAGTTGGCGAACATTGTCCGATCACGACTCCTCAGCGGCGGTAAGGAGGAACGAAATCACCGTTCCTGTGTATGGCTTTAAGTCTTTATTCAGTTGTGTTTATTTTTTTTATTTTTGTTGAATCCGATTATTTTCATTGGTTCCGTGTTTTAACGTACTGTTGTAACAGTTTGAACTCGCAGTCATCCAGGGTCCAGGAACGGAGTCATCCATTTTACATTGATTCTAACGGTTTCAGTTTTCGAACTTTTCGCTTCACGAACGAACCTTTAGGAACGAATTGAGTTCGAAAACTAAGGTTCCACTGTATTTTTAATCATAATAGGTATAACCTCTGACACCATAAGTCTATAATATTTTTTAAATATACATTTTTTTATATTTTTTATTTCTACATCTTTTATTTTATTCAAACAATTCTTAAATGTTTGTCTTTTAATTGACCTCAGAGTATTAGTATAATATATAGTCTTTAGTCTATTAGTCTTCATCAAAGTCTATTAGTTTTCATCAAAATGCTGTGGTTGTTTTTTCTCTCATCGTTCCATTTCTCCATCTCTGGACTGACTTATCGTCCTCGTCTTCTCCAGGTCACGTGTCCTGACAGAGCTGGAGCTCCGACTCTCCGGCCTCCTCTCTGAGCTGCAGTTCATCCAAGCTTCACCGTCATTAAGTTTCTGTCCCAACAGTGAGGTGCTGGAGGTCTGGCAGGAGACCAGAAGAGTCGTCAGTGAAGGGTAAATGATGATGTTGATATTAAACGTTAGCACCTTAATGTGACCTCCAGCTTCTACCTGCGTGACCTGGTGTGGATGACCCACAGGTTGGACCACTGCCACTTCCTCGCTGAGCTGATGAAGAGGTTCCAGGGCCTGCGAGCGGAGCTGAGTGGGAAGTTGCAGGCAGCAGAAGCTACCATCAGGGAACGGAGGTCGTACGTGGGCAAAGACAACCTGCAGAGGTTATACTTTAAGGTAGACCACAAGGCCTCGGTCTGCTGTAGGACTCACACAGTTACAGATGATGCTGACTCTCTTCTCTGTGTGTGTGTGTTTGAATGGTTCAGGTCCAGGAGGTCAAAGGTGAGCTGCAGCGCGTTGGCTCCACCATTGAGGAGGTGCGCAGGGTCTGCAGGCAGCTCCACACTCACCTGCGTCACATGACACAGTGTGACGTCGTCCAGTTTGAGAATGAGGCCGACTCCCTTAGGGACAGCTGGCTGGATGTAAGCTCATTTATTTAAATTAAAATGATCCCATAAATCAGATGAATAAATTTCTAAGCTAGTCATGAAATAAATCTCCTTCCAGATCTCAGAGAGAACAGATTCCCACCTGGAGAACCTGTACCTGGGCATGACTCTGTGGGACGGACTTCTTCAGCTGAGAGTGGAGGTGGAAAAGTGGACGGACAGTAAGCTGTCCTTGTTTGTCCAGTCTCCATCGTTCCAGTCAGAGGAGGACATTGAGACACTGCAGGTAAAATGCTGATACGTTCACTTTTGAATGTCTCTCCAGGATAATCTTTATCTTATCTAGCAAAGATTGACCCGCCTTCTGCCTTTAGAACGAGTTTGCCGTCCAGGAGAAGAACGTGGAGCATTTTGAACGAAGAATCACTGAGGTTCAGTCTTTGACCAACAGCACAGATCCACCACTAGAACTGCAGGTCCAACAAAATTTTAACTTTTAACTTTTATGCTGGATTAAAATGACACGTGGACAGTGTTTAAAATGTTCATTTCCTCCTGTCCAGATGGCTGTGACACAGATGAGGAAGAAGTTAGAGGAGCTGAAGGAACTTGTTTCAGAAGCGGAGGATGTCTTCAGGCAGATGGAAGCCGTGAAGAGACAAATCACCGCCAGGACGTCCGAGTGCTTCGAGTCTTTAAAAGAGATCCAGGATTCTCTGCACAGTCTGGGTGGTTCAGACGTTGTCACGACCCGAGCAGAACTAAAGGTGACAGATTATAACCACACTCAAGGTTGAACGTAATGATGATAGAGATACTCATTTTTATTTTTATATTCTCTACAGGGTCTGTCTCTGGAGCTGAAGACCCAGGATGAGCAGGCAGAGGGTGTTCTGGAGGACCTGCGGCTGTTGACCTGCATCTCCAGCGGCGACGGTCTGGAGACTCTGTGTGTAGCAGTCATCCAGCTGCAGGAGGAGGTGAAAAACACACAGCTGCTCCTCACTGAGGCTGAGGAACAGACACAGAGGAACGTCCAGGATGTGGACAGGTACCAGACTTTATATCAACCAATCATCTGCAGCCTCAGCTGTGTAAATAATTACACACAGCACAAATTCAAATTTCAAAGGGCGTTGCCCTGGCGCTGCTTTTGCGAGGTAAATATTCAGTATAAGGTCGATGTACCTCAGAGTGTCACTGGTATTATTTATTGGACAGTATTTTGCAATAATTTGATTTTACTGTGTAATTTTTCTTTGCAACATTTAGGTGATTTTACTGTGTAATTTTTCTTTGCAATATTTGGGTAATATATATTTTTTTTTACTTTAGTTTGGGGAATAAATTTGGTTGATATTTTTGTGATATTCCTATTTAATTCACACTGTATATGAATATATTTTTATATACTTATTTTATATATCTTTTATACACCTGTCATTCTCTGATAGTGGAGCAGTTGAAGCCCAGGCCTGCCTCTTCCTGCAGGTTGATGACGTCGTAAGCCAGCAGAGGGAGCTAGACGGCAGCGTCAGAGAAATCCTGCCGCTTCTCCAGGGGAACAGCAACCAGGTCTCCAGTGTTCAGAGACAGCTGAAAGACGTGTATGAAAAAGATAGAAATCTGTGTTTTGACCAAGAAGCTGTTGGTGACGTGAGGCAGCTCAAAGAGCAGTGGCGCACCCTACAGGTGACATATGATAATAATTGCTAAACATAACCAGAAATGGCTTCAAAATGTTTTATTTCACCTGTGTTTCTACTTGAATGGCTGTCGAATCAGAGATTTTCTTCAATTTAATTTTTTTTTCTTCTTTCAGGACTTTGATCGTAGACTGATGGAGATGTCTTTGGAAGAAACATTTTGATCGTAGACTGATGGAGATGTCTTCAAGCGTCTCAGAAGAAACGCGTCCTGCAGATGTGATTTCTACTGTGGACAGAGTCACAGAAGACTTTCACAGGTTTTGATCATTCCTGGTTTTAAAAAGTTTATAGAGTAGAATAACTTTATTTTCAATCTGTGCAGAAAAAAACTTTTCAAGTACATAAGACATTTTGTTCAGTCATCCCTGAGAAAAATGGTACAGAAGAAAATAAATATCTAAAATTCTAATGTAAAGGAGTAAATGATCATTTTTGTAACTTTACAACTTCCTAATTCCTTCGTCTTTTCTGTGTCCTAACTTCAGCCTACGGTCAGTTTTTCTTCAAAAGAAGCAGGAGTTTGTAGAAAACGTCAGGCAGCTGCAGCTCTGCCAACAGGTAACACACGTGACACGCCTGTTTTTATATAAAACACCACAACACAGGCCTCTGCTTTTACCATGGGCAATTACATCTAATCTAAGTCCATTATAAAAAAAATATTCAGAATAAGTATTATAAATGGGCCGGACCTTCACTGGCCATTAGCTTGAAACCCCACTTTGCCAAAATGCGTCAGCTAAAATGTTAAAAGTTAGGAAACCAAACGTGGTATTTTTCTGAATAAAATGTTTAACTCAGCAGGGTCTTTGTCTTTCTTTAAATGTCACGGGTCTTTATTTTGTCTGAAGTTTCAGCTTCTGACACTCTGTGTTTTTGAGCAACATTCATTGTGGGGACGGGGGGTGTGAGACACGGGGGGGTCTCAGCAGTCAAACCAGAGAACTGATGCCCTTCTTGCCGTAAGGCAAGTTCCCTGACCACTTACTCCACCGTGTGGTTGGTGGTGGTGTGCACGAAATCACAATATAACAATAGTAATAATAATAATATTATATTAACTTGTATATATTTGTATTGACATTGCATGAAGACATCCTCTCCAAAACCTATATTTAAATTTACTGCTGGTAGTCTTCATATGTATTCATACGTATTTGTCTTTTTATGCTTATAATTTATTCTATTCCTACTATTTATTCTGATTAAAAACAAACCACTGCTGTTTGTTACTGTAATGACAACAGAGGAATCATCTTCATCTCATCTGTCATCGGCATGTTATTATTTAACGTCACTGTAAACCTCCACTCACACATTTCAACACACCAGATTGACCACCGTGTGGCACTGTTTGTGCAACACAGAAACAGAAGTTAGTTCAGGTACATTTTAAAGTTTCTTGTTGTCAACATCTCTTCGTCTGTGTGTTCTTCATCAGACGACTGTGGCTGAACGTCTGCAGCGTCAGCAGTTTCTCAGAGACGTCCTGTCAGACACTGACGTCCTTGAAAACATTTTTGGAGCAGAAGTCGCGAAGGAGCTGGAAACAAATGTTTCAGACGCTCTGAATGAAAGCCTGGTTTCATGTCTTGCCTCATCTTCAAACTCAGTGAGATTTTTTTTCTTTCACCATTTTTACCTAAAGATGTCGGTGATATGGTCTGTCTGTGGCAGAGATGCTCATTTAGTTTTCTCTGAGTTCACAGATGGTAGAAGGTCAAGGTGATGAGGAACTGGATGATAAACAGACCTGTGGAGAAAACGGTGAACCATCATGTCCAGCTGCTGCTCCTCCAGAGTCTCCTCCTGTTCCTGTAGCTGTGGAGGACTCCTCTGAAGATGATGATGACAACAAGATAAGAACCCAAGAGGCCTCCACTCAGCTGACCACAGAAGGATTTATGCTGAAACAGTCGGAAAAAAACAGTATTTTTACAGATGGAGACGACGTTTCTGTCGAATGTTTACTAACCTTCCTGAAACCCCAACAGAAGTTTCCGACAAGTATGCAGTCGTCGTCCGACTCTAAGTCAAATAACGATAGTGGTTATGATAAGAAGGTGTGTTTTAGAAATAAAATCACAACAACTGGTGCATCATCACTATCACATCCACTTCTTGGTCCCACCCAGAGCCTACCATCTCGGCAGGAAGACAGTATTTCTCTGTCAGCCACGACAGGAAATACCGGCACAATCAGTTCATCTCCCCGTGACACATCCACGGCAGCAACGTGTCACAATTTTGCCGTTTCCAAAAGTGGAACTGCAACAGTATCAGAACAGTTTGAAAGAATGACAGATTCTTATGAACCTGAGGAGGAAATGAGTTTGACTCCAAAGAACCTGTTTTCAATTATGTTGGAAATGGAGCCACGGCAGAAGCAGAAGAATAAAAATGAGCTAGAGTTCAGCCGCAGAATCCCTGAGGAGAAGTTGGATCTTCTGACTTCAGCGTTCGATGCTGAATCAGATGAAACAGACTTTGTAGAGAATCATCTGGCAGAACAGGCAGGAGGTGGAGAAAAAAAACAGGGTTTCAGTTTGAGACCCAGGAAGAAGTTTACAATAATGGTGGACCTGGAGTCACCTGTGTACCAACAGGAGGTGCGTGGAACCAGCTGGTACGAAGAAGACACGTCTCACGTTGCGTTATATCATCCTGGAACAGATGAGTCTGACTTGAAGGCTGATTCTTTACCGACTCCTGAAACTGAAGCAGCAGAGACGGAGTCAAATGAGGTAAAATCTACCGGTGCCACATTATTAAGAACCCCCCAGTGTCAGACCACGTCTCCAGGTGTCAGACCGGAGTTGACAGCTTTCTGTCACACTGTGAAGCCAACAGTCCTGAGTGTTGTCAAAAGTTCAGTCCAGAGCGGAGTTGCCGTCACCGGGAGCCACTTACCTGCTGTGGCTGACAGCCGGCAGACGACGGGAGCTGCTGACGCTGCACAGAGCACGGCTGAAGAACGTGCCGAGTCGGCAGAAGGAGGAAACGCAGAGAGAGGAAGAGGTTCTTCTAAAGGCCCGCGGTCCGAACTTCAGGAGGAGGGAGATGGAGGAGGAGATGCTCTACAGCTGGAGGATGAAAGTGACGTCAGGTTAACAGCGTCTCTGGAGGACACTGAGGGAACACACAGACAGGTGGGATTTCATTAAAAGTCTTTTGTTGTATTTTTGTCATCAAATCTCTTATATTGTTGAATTAGTACAGTTTAAATATGAGAATCTATACAAATTATAAACCATTTAAAAATATCAATTGGAAAAGTTTTTTTGTTTTTTTTTTAACTCTGGAAAGTAAAGGTTAGGAGCACAGTGGTGCTCCCAGCAAGGGGACAACACACGTGTCCTGGTTAAATCTTCCTCATCTTTTAATGTCAATTATAACCAAACTGTTCTCTTTTTGACATTTACAAACCACCAGAGTTCTGTCCTTCCGTGGGTGTGGGTCAAACGTTGGTGACATTCTGTTCTTTTTCTCTCTCTTTTTCAACCTTGCCCTCAATTTGGCTGCAACTCTTTTGCTTTTAGTTTGTTTTCTTTCTCTCCACACTTGACATTTGAATGTCATGTTTTGAACCACTTTGAAGTTTTTTCCTATTTTAAAAAAAATGAATGTCATGTTTTGAACCACTTTGAATTTTTTTCCTATTTTAAAAAAATAATAATAATAGTCTCTTTTTTTTTTGCATCCAAAGTTTCTCTCTCTACAAGTTGTATTTCGTTGTTTCTCTCCCAGCTTCTTAAATGTCCACAGACTGGGCCTCTCAGAGGTAGAGCCTTGGCAGCACGTGGCCCCCGGGCCACTGTTTTGAAAAGGCAGTGGTAAAGCCTTTAATCTACTTTGTGCTGTCTTGCACCTATACTCTTCCCTAACGTTTCAAAAGGCAACTCCCCTGTTTGTTTACCAGAGAGGAGTAAGTGTTGTCAGGAGGAGGTGCCTGCCCTTCTAACCTACTTATCACAGGTATTTTCTTTTCCAAACGAGAAGCCGCACTCTCTGTGTCTACCGACAGACACACAAATGTTCTTTCGTCCCCGGGGGCCGAGGGCTGCTGACATTCTTCAGTCAACTGTACTGACTCGCTGGGCCACTGTCAACACTGTAGTAGTTACCACAAACAGGAAGCAACTGTAGGCAAACACAGGAAAGGACCGTGAGGTTAAACCTCTGACACCGCCCCTGTCGTCTGACTCTGCAGCCTCACATGCCACCAGACGAAGAAGAAGAAGGAGACACGGAGCCTGGGAGGACGGAGCTGGGTCTGTCGTCCGAGGAGAAAATCACGTTCAGTGCCGACACATCCGTCATCATGCTGGGCGTTTGGTCCGACATACAGAGTTTGGTGGAAAGAAGCAACATCATAAATGTGAGTATGTGCCGGGACGGACCTGAGCTGTTACTGGGTCTCCAAATATTTTTTATTTAAGAATTCTCTTGTTGACGTTTTAGGACAATGGTTGTGATTTAAAATTAATTTAAAAAACATATATTCACATAGACATTTATTTACTGGAAGTTAAAAGTAAGAGTGAAAACAGCGCTGTTCTGATTGCTGCCTTCCCATGATGCTGCTGACAGGAAGTCATACAGGAAGCATCCAAAGGATACAATGACTTCCTGAAGGCTGTAATCAGCCACAGATTGTAGGCTGTATGTCCTTCAATCCCATTTGCCATTTATATTATATTCAGGATAATTTTCTTTGGTTTTGAGAGCATTGAATTTTGCATTTCACCATCAAGATTCAATGTCCTTTCCCCCAAATCCTTACCCTCCTCCCCCCCTTTCTTTCTGTCGCTCTGCCTGTGTCGCTATTTCTTTTTTTCTGAGCTGATAAGGAGATGAAGGATGGCGGCAGAGTTCTAAATATTGACATTCATGCAGACAAACAGTTCTGACCAGGAACACTGAAGATAGAAAGAAGATGGGATGATGTTGGGATTTAGGTGGAGTCCAAATGTGGGAAAAATTAAACAATAATGATAAAACTTGACAGATGACAAATAAAAAAATCTGTTCTTCAAATATTGATATACCAACAAAGGGATTAAATTAATTAAATTAGTAACCACATTCGCTCGTGTATTATTCTTGTTTGTCAATAGAGGGCGCCACATGTCGATTTGAATTGGTATCTGAAGTCCTCTCCGGGCGAACCAGAGATCCGGATGACACGAACTGTCCAGCAGATCCTGGCATGTCGATATCGACCGGCCCAGCTTGATGCTAAAGCTATGGCTCAACAGCTGGAGGAGGCAGAGGTGAGTGTGGAGTGTCAGGGAATTTTTCACCACCACGTCTGTAAAAAATCTGGTCTAAAGTCCGTCCTGTCCGCTGCAGGAGTTCAGGTCCCGCATGGAGAAGAGTGTGGCCGACATGAAAAGCGTGAGTTCTGCTCAGGACTGTGACCCGAACACCTTGAGGCGAGCTGAAGGTCAGTGGAGCGCGGCCCTGTTAGACGCCTCCGCCACGGTGCAGGTGAAAGCAGCTCAGCTGGACCAGGTGAAACGATATCACAAACAGATGAAGATGCTCAGAGCTTTCCTGCAGGTCTTAGCTGCTGAGAAGGAGAACATGAGCCTGTAAGTCACGTTCCTCATTCATCTTTCGTAGAGTTCCTCGTCTTCTCAACCACGTGTATCCCACACTGATGTTTTTTTCCACGGTTTTCTTAGAAATGCTTTGGGGAGCAGCGCCGTTCAAGCCGAGAAACTTCAAGCCCTGCTGAAAACCATGGAGCACAAGAAGGACATGATGGAGAAGCTCCTGAACTTGAGCAGCCAGTGTTCCGTTCACTTAAGCGATTGTGAAAGTTCTGGCGCTCTCCAGGCCCAACTTGGAGATGTTCGAGAGGAATGGAGGCTGTTGGAGGGAAGTATCAAGAGAGCTTTACGACACGCCACCAACTCTGCCTTGCAGTCATCCGTCATTATTAAAGAGGCTGAAGGTCTGAGGACCAAGCTTGAAGATCTCAAGAACTTAAGTGTCCAAAGCAGCGACAACAAAAGCGCCCTGGAACTAGTCTGTCTGTCCACTGACGTTAAACTTTACAACCAACTTTATCAACACCAGAAATTCCAGTTTGATTCTCTTGTCCATTTTTCTCTGGGTCAAAAAGAGAAGGATGAAATCCAAAGAAAACTTAAGGAGCTGGAAGCAATTCTGAATGTCACCAGGACATCAGTAGATGCCTCCACAGAGATCTTTGGAGGTTCTTCTTCGATCCTCATCAACAAGCAGCTGCAGGACTTGATCGTTTGGGCCAAACAGGCAGAACATCACATCTGCGTCGGGAAGAAGTTGTCCCTTTTCCCAGAGGAGGCTCGGAGACAAATTGTTGACATGAAGAAATTTCAGACTGACATTTTATCCCGACGCTCCAAGATGCAGGCCCAGGTCGATGAGATGAAAGAAGAACTCTCTGACATGGAAAGGGCAGAAGGTGACCAAGTGCTGAAGACGGTGGAAGACCTTTATGAAGCTATCGCCGACAGTTTAGCTCATGTTCTTGACACCATGAAGAATAACCTTCAAAAGCGGGAGAAGCTGCTGTCCCAGCTCGCAAGCACGGAGACCTGGCTGGTGGAGTCACATGCTACCACAGATGAAGGTGCTGCTGTGGAGAACATCTCCACGGAAGACGTTCAAAAGCTGCAATTTGAAGCGGAGAGGCACAAATTAGCCACGGAGGAGATTCGAAATCGGCTACAATTGGTGGAAGAAATGGCAGAAGGTTGCGAGGACATCGCAGCGGAGCTAAGTCCGGGAGAGAGCCGATACCTTGTCAATCGGATCTCAGGTCTCTGGACAGACTTAGATGGTCTTCTAGCTCATGAAGAAGCAAAGTGCTGGGAGCTGGAGGAGCTGATTCAGGAGCGAACGTCCTCAGATGAGGAGCTGTCGAGTATTCTGGGTCATTTGAAACAGATTTCCAAAGATTTGGAGAAACAGAGGTTTCCTTCTGCACAGGAGACCCTGTCGACGGTCGCCCGAGTGATGCACATGCTCATGGAGAACCAGTGCCAGGTACAAGAGCTCCAGCACTGTGGTGAGGCCAAGAGGAGTGCTTTTCTGGGCTCCGTTGGAGAACTCCAGGACAGATGCAAAGCTCTTAATCTCAGTGCTTTCGAGCAGGAGAAATATTTGCACTTGAGGAGACAAATGGAAGAGTCTGAGAACATTGCCAAAGAGCAAATCGAAAAAGCCAGAGACAAAGCCGTCAGTGTCGGCGAGAGGTTCAGACTGTGCCAAACGCTGCTGGTAGAACTTCCTCTGGTGAAGATGCAGTGCCAGGAAGCTGGAGACCAGCTGGAGGCCATAGCTCCGGAGCTGTACCCGTCTGAGCTGCGGTCAGAGCGGCGTAAGATTCATCGCACCGTGGAAACCTTGGTGTCCTGGGAACATTCCGTCACGGAGGAGATCAAACGCCTTGAGTCCAAGCTTCTGTCGAGACGAAGCTTTTCTTCAGAACTTTCAGAGATAACGGAGCTTTTCCGTACAACCAAAGCTGAGCTGGAGGAACTGAGGACGGTGTGTCCAGATGAGAGGAAAATAGATGGTGCACTAAGAAGATACTGGGCCCTCTGGAGAAATATGCAGTCTGCAGTGAGGGTGTTGGAAGCTCTAGGCAGAAGTGGCCTGAGGAACTGTGAAGAGCTTCACCCACTGGTGGACCAGACCATGCAAGAATGTCACTCCCAAATGGTATGATTTAAAGTTTTTTTTTTTAATATTTTTTTTAGTTTACGTTTTCTTAAAGTTATTGCTTCACTTTTGGAACTTTGTCCAACAGGAGACTTTATCCCAGGCCAGAGAATCCTTGAAGGATTACCAGTGGGCCGCTCAAGGAGCCATCGTCTTTCTCCATAACGCCGAGGCCACCTTTTTGTCAGCTCCAGGACGGTTCCTGGACTGCACTGAGGAACAGAGACAAACCCAGCAGGCTCTGGAAGCTCTGGAGGATGGCTTCCAGGCTCACATCTGCCACCTGGAAGAACTTGTCCCCCAGGAGCCCTGCCTCTCTAAACCTGAAGTCCAGCAACTTCACATCAGCCTGGTCAGCCAGCTGTTGGTGGGCAGGGCCGTGCTGGAGGCTCAGGCTCAGCTCAGGCTGGAGTCTCTGCAGAGGTATTACTGTGTGTCATGCAGTACAAAAAAACGCACCGCGTCTCGTTTTGTGACTACAATAATACAAGTATTTGTTTACAGGTGTGTAACGGGTCAAAGAAGCCACAGGAAGTGGCATGAAAACATGAGGCAGCAGCTTTCTGCTCTTGAAATCAGACTTGCAGAATGCACCGCGGCTCAAGTGACGTCGTACGAGAAATGCGTTGCCCAGCAAAAGGAAGCAACGGTGAGTGAAAAAGTTTGGTTTTTTATACACGTTTGTTCTGTATTTACCAACTTAAACGTACAAACATCCTCTTCTCCACCAGCTTCTGATGGAGGATCTCTACAGCCTCGCCGTTAGGATCGAGGACCTGAGGGCCGGGTGTCCCATACAGGGGTGTGGTGACAGTAAAGATGGTGAGCCGGGCGCCCTCTGGCGCCACTGGTCGTCATTACGACGTGGCATTGGCCTCTTGATGGCGCATATAGAGCAACGACAAGAAGAGTGGAAGGACATCACTACAAGTGTGAGTTAGCCCTTGTTTTAATTTTTTTTTTTTCTAAATTAGGATTAATTAGCTTTTGACAATTAACCATTTTGTCTAACTTTTAACTGTTGTGTTTCCTAATTTAAATAGGATTTTATTAGTTTATGTTTTGTGTTTTGACTTTTTTTATTTACTCTACATTTGACTGAATAATTTAAAAAACTAACTTAGTTTTAGCTGCCTCTGGGCTGTTGTTTTATTTACTTGTTGTTGGCTACTAAGTCGTGAATTTGTAATCCGTCAACACTTGTAATAGTTGAACGCTACGTTGGCCCAGTTGAACATTTTACACATTTAAGCCATTATTATCAACAATAATTCACTTTAAAACTGTTGATAAAACATATTTGTATTTATTCCCTTTAGATTGAGCAGTGTTGTAGTTTCCTGGCCCGTCTTCAGTCGGAGGTTCCGGACTCCTCCTCCGTGAGCTTCACTCATGAAAAACCCCAGGAGCTTCTAGCTCAGGCCGAGGTCCACCTGGCCGGTCTGGAGCAGCAGGCCTTATCGTCCCTGGAGCACCGACTGGAGCATGCCCTGAGCCTGTCAGACTCCCAGGATCCCAGCAGTCCAGGTCCTGTGGGGAGAACACTGGTGGAGATCAAGGAGAACGTCAGGAGGTGGGGTTTGTTTTCTCACACACACACGTGTGTGTGTGTGTGTGTGAAGCGATGAGTCATTTATATCAAAGGTGCTGAATGAAGATGCCGTTTCTCTGCAGCTTGAAAGAGAAGAACCTGCTGGTTGTAGCTGCAGCTCAGGCAGAGGAGAATAAAAGGAGCCGAGTCCAACAGGAGATGGAGGAGGTGGAGAAAGACACACTCCACATTCAAAACAAGATGGAAACGTGTTTGAACCCCAGCCTACAACAGGTGCACTCTGAGTTTTAATACATCCAAGCAAAACTTTTGGCAAACCTTTCCTTGGTGTATTAAAAAAAAAAAAAAAGAGGAATTAATTAAATAAATTACATGTCTTTTTTCCGCCGACAGGAGCTCTGCAGGGATTTGTTCTCCCAGAAGACCAGGCTGAGGAGCATCGTGGAGGGTTTGCAGAAACAGTACACGGAGATCCCTGCAGATCTGAGCCAACATCTCCGACAAGTGGAGCTGTCTCTGCAGAGAGCAGAGGAGAAGGTAACAAGACACGGCGCCAAAAATCAATCCCCGCTCACGTGTCACGAGCCACTAAAGTCTCCTTTGGTTTGTCTTTAACAGCTGATGGAGGGAAATAATCCTGTCGGTAAGTTGGCAGGTCGAGTCGTGGAGCTGGGCTCAGGCCTGGAGAGAGTGAAGGACTTACTGGAGCAGAGGAGTCCAACAGTCGGTGAAGCTCAGCAGGTCCTCAGGGTGGGTGTAAAAGGCATCTGGAGTTGAACTTTGAAGAAAAATGATTCACTAAATAAACTGTTGTATAAAATCCACATAATACTCCAAATGACTTGAATATTTCTGGGAGACATGAGGAGTTTCTGAAACTGACCATAAAATCTTGACAAAATAAATGTGATGTTATGTTACGTGGTCAAAAAAAAATTTTTTAAAGGCCCATAGTTTGCTATGAATTTGAATGATTTTTAAGTCATTAAATTTAGGTCACATTTTTGAAAGACAAAATCTTCACTTCTTTTCTCATCAAATTTGTTATCATTGCAAAAAAATTTGTCAGATAAAAAAAGACCAATTTTTTTAAACTCTTTAAACAAGAAAAAAAAACCTAAAGCATGAGTACATGTTAATATTTAATTATTTTATTATGAAGTTAACTGTCATACTCCTAGTAGAAGGTTCTTGTAGGATCCTGATCCTGATCAGATATCTGCTAAAATGTCGTTCTGCAGCTGGTCTGGGATGAGCTGGACTCGTGGCACAGTCGGCTGATGCTGCTGGAAAGCGAGGTGCAGGATCTGGCCGAGGAGCAGCCAGCTCAGGCCCACGTCCTCATGGACCACCTCACGCAGCCACTGCAGCTCTATCAGAACGCATCACAGATGGCGGAGAACCGCACGTCCTTCCTCAGCAAGGTCAGAGTCGTGTCGTGTACGTTCACCTGTGGAGCACAGAGGCAACAACAACAACAACAGTGTTTACTTTTCCATCGTTTTCAGATCCCCGTGTGTATAAAGGAGTTTGAAGACATTGTGTACAGCGCCTTCTGCTGGCTGGATGAGGCACAGGCATGGCTCAGTGCTCCCTGCTCATTCACAACAGCCAAAAGTCTCCAGAATCACGCAAACTCCCTGCAGGTCTGTGATCACAGCTACAGGAATAAAAATAAAAAATGTAAATGTATACTGGTGCAATTTGATGAGGTTGTTTTTTTTTTGTTTTTTTTTTAAACCCTGATCCACAGCTGGTCCTGGACGACTCAGAGAGGATCAGGGACATGTTGCAGAACTTCAGGCCGGTTCTGGACGAGATTTCTGCCGTGTGTGACGTCAGTGCCCAGGAGGACACGCTGAACCAGAATGACCAAGGAGTCCAGGAGATGCAGCGCCACCTGCTGGAGCCATTGGCGCAGCTGCTACAGGCTGCTGTGGTGAGTGTTTCATATGAAGGATTAATACATTTTTATCAGAGACTTCAGGTTGATGGTGACTGATGTTGAAGTCCTGAAATCAAGTCATTTTAAATCTCATTTTCAGGTGGTGGAAGAGATGGAGGGCGAACTCAAGGCCATTGAGAAGAACATTCAAAAAATCAGAACAATTTTGTCCTCTGTGGACGACGCCAACATAACGACAACAGAACATCTGCACAACCGACAGGTGAGGTTTTAACCATTATATATATGTATATATATGTATGTGTATATATGTATGTATATATATGAATGTATGTATATATGTATCTTTGTATATATATGTGTATATATATATACACATATATATACACATATATATATATAGTATATACACGGGTGTGTATATATATATATACACACATATATACATATACATACATATATACGTATATACACACATATATACATATATGTATATATATGTATGTGTATATATGTATATATATGTATGTGGATATATGTGTGTATATGCGTATATATGTATGTATATGTATATATGTGTATATGTATGTATATATATATATATACATACACATATATATACACATATACACATATATATATACAGTGTATATATATATATATATATACATACACGTGTATGTACTGTATATATATACGTGTATGTATATATATATGTGTATATATATATATACGACCCTCCTCATCAGAGACCGTTGTTCTCAGCTCAGGGATTGACTCTGTTTCTGGCTCCATCTGAAGGTGATCCTGGCCAACGTGGCGTCGATCCACAGGACGATGCAGGAGATGGAGAGATGTAAAGATGAACTCCCTCTGCCACGAGGAGCAGAGGAGAGTCTGCTGGTCTTCTCCAGAGCTAAACAGCTGCAGCAGCCGCTGCAGGAGCTGGAGGAGCTGACCCTACAGCAGGCCTCGCAGCTGGAGGTCTGGGAGTCTAAATGCCACAGATAATGAGAAATGTTTGACTCATACTTGGAAAAATTCTACTGACTTTAAAAAAACCAGGAGCTACTTTTGTGTCTTTTGATCTTCAAGGATAAAAGGTCGACAAAAAGATTCTTTACAGAAATATGGAACTGCTTCTGATTTTGTTCCTTTTCTATTTGTGATAAATCTTCATCAGAACAAGATCAGAGAGCAGGAAGAAACCATGGTCCAGCAGGCGGAGTCTTCTCTGTTGGAACACTCGGTCCAGGTAAGAATTTATGGACGTATATTTACGTACTATAATAAAACTTAACACCTGGTCATCATCCGTCTGAGTTAAACTAATCAGCTGATGTGATTGGGTCGTAGTTTTAAAGACTAGTGGCAGAACGGAGTAGTTTGGGCCTAGAACCCTCGCCCTGCTGATCCAGATCCTCAGATTCCACTCCAGTCTTTGTTTTCACTGCAGTACCATTGTTGTTGGTACTGATTCTCAACGACTAAGTGCAAAACTTCTGTTTTTCTCAGTGTGTGTAATTTATTTTTTTTGCTGCCAACATTAGATTTAACGTGTTTTTCCATTCTGATGGTTTGTCAAATATTTTGATAAATGTACAAAGATGGAGCAGGTTTTATTTATTCATTTTAGTTTTTCAGTTCATTCATATACATATTCATTCTCGACTATCCTTTGTGTAAAAATTTTTTGGAGGGTTTTATAATTATGGTAATTAATTCTCCACTTCACCGCCAACTGTTATTTACTGGAGGGGTTTTTGTAGAAACATGGCGCTGGTCTGTGGAATCACATTTAATTTTTTTTTTTAAATGTTTTAAAATAGCAATTTGTTTTTCCCAGTAAGATGTTGACTAATGTTCCATGCAATGGTAGTAATAATAAAAAATCATGAAATGTTTACTAAATCACCGTGTTTTCCTTTACACTGAAAGTTCCCTGTTGTTACACTATTATAATTGGGCTGATAAATATTAATAAAAAATCTTACTATAATAAACATTAGCAGAAACTCGACGTGTAATTATAATCACAGTTTTCTTAATGTCTCCTCACAAAAAAACAGGAAACTTTTGCAGTGTCTAACCCAGAGGAAGAGCAGGAGGATGATGATGATGACGACGAGAGTTGTCACTCTTCATCCTCTGACACACTAACATGCAGTATTCCAGAGGTAATTAAAAAAAACTAATTACTGGGATCTTTTAACTTTTGGTTTTGTTTCGAAGCATGAATCATGCAAAAAAATGCATTTATTTTTTAAACTAATTACTGGGATCTTTTAACTTTCGGTTTTGTTTCGAAGCATGAATCATGCTGAAAAAAAATGCATTTATTTTTCGATGTTTTTAAATAAATAAATATTTTTCATTATAATTTCTCATGCTTGGGAACAAAACTTGAAAACTTTATTGCCTTTTTTTTTTCTCTCTCTCTCTTCTTCATGCTTTTATTTTGCCTGTTGTGGAGCAGTTAGCTTTAGAATCTGAATTTCCTTGATGAGAAACTGTCTCCGTCGTTGCTGCTGCTGCTGCTGCTGCTGCAGGCAGACTGTCCTGTTCTCTGATGAATGCACTGTCACATGCAGCTGCCTGAAATGTGTTCCTCCTTATCTCATGTGTGTATCTGTGTGTGTGTGTTTGTTAATGGCTATATTTATCCTGGACACTGACTAGGACCCAGAGGAGACGGTCATTAGTTTGAAAGTGAAAAATGAGGATTTTGACAAAAAGACCCCGCTCTCACCCGTCAAGGTGACGTCCTGTTTTTTTTATTTTTTTTTTATTAATGTTTGTTTTTGCTGAACTTGGATTCAAAGAACACGTAACAGCTCTGTGATCAACTGTGTTTACTTCAGGAGGTGAAGGTTTGGACTCCAGCAGTGGAGATGAGCTCAACCGGAGCTGAAGCTCAGCTGTGTTCACAACCAGCAGGATGTGACATCACGGATTTGGCTTCTAGGAAAGCCTTTAAATCAGCTGATGCTGAAGAGGAGGCCACTGATGCCACTTATAACCGCGGAGCGTTTGACTCGGAACATCTTGAGAAGTTCCTTCAGGCTGTAGCTGCAGTGGGAGACACAAGACTGGTTCCCGTGAGACCCGTAACTCCTTTCACCGCCTCCACTGGAGAATCAGCTGAGCTCCTGGATGAGGAGGTAGATGAAGAGCTGACTCCCTCCACAGCTTTACATCGAGATGTGGTAAGTGCCCGAGAAAGACAGAGACTCACTGTGAAGGTAAGTTTATGCAGAATTGAAATTAATTTGTCCAACTTTACTTATCAACTTAAATGCTACAAACAAAGAATTTACAGAACGATTTAAGAAAATGTTGATTTTCTCATCAATATCCAGGACAACCTTTCTGGTCAGAAAGAGAAACGTCTGTCTTCCAGTTGTAACAATCAGAGACTGGAGAAGTCACAACAAGTTCAAGACTCAACAGAGATGGAGTTCAGGTGAAAGAACCTCCGACGAGTGAAGACGTTTAAATGTTTGGTTTTTTTACCTGTTGTGATGGAGTTCAGGTGAAAGAACCTCCGACGATTGACGACGTTTAAATGTTTTGGTTTTTTTTTACCTGTTGTGACGCATGAAGCTTCTGTTCCTCAGTTTGGTAGAACATGAAACTGAGGAGGAGGAGGAGGAAGATCAGAGACGAAGGCGACTCCACGACCAGATCTCTGAAACGCTGACCTTTATAAACAAGGCACGCAAAGAACGCCGGACCGAAGCTGGTTCTGACCGAGAGACTGGTGACAAGGTTGGACACCAAACACTTTTCTGTCTCACCATTGTTCCTTTTTGCCTCACCTACTGTGACTCTTTTGAACTTCTCAGCTTCCAGACCGGAGGTCAGAATCCAGGACCACTCCTGTTGTTCTGGAGGAGATCCAGGAGACCACGTTCTTGCTGGGACAGTTGGTAGGTGCATGAAGGATCCTCTTCTTTTTCCCGGACCATCATGTTCTGACTGTTATCGTGGTTTTTTTTTGTTTTTTATTTTCCAGTTGAGGTCTGAAGATGGTTCTGATCCAAATGTGAAGCAGGAGAAACTCTACGATGTTCTACGGAGGTTGGGCCTCTGCCTGCAGGATTGTGAGAACCTTTTGTTGCCACCTGGTGGCACTGGAGGTGGTGACCATGATCAGCTGAGGCTGCTGCAGCAGGAGGTGATTTATGCTGTGATTAAAAAAACCCACATTTAAATCAATGGTATTTTAAGACTATAATTAAAACATGTAACCTGTTATTTTAGCTTTGTTTTTTTTAGATGCTCACACTTCCACACCAGAGTCCATAGATAAAAACATTGATTTTAAATCACTACTGCATCTATCACTGGGTTAAATGTGATATTTTTCCACTTCAGTCTTTAAAATTGTTTGTTCTTCAAAACCTCAATACCCCAATTTTACTACAGGGGGCAGCAAAAGATCAGTAGCGTCTGTGGCAAATGAACCCTAAATTGTTGAATTTCTCTATGGATTTTGGTGCAGAGCATTAAAAACTCTCCAAATTTTTTGACCAAAAAAAAAAAAGACAATGAGTTATTGGGTGTGTGTGTGCTGTTCTTGTCACTGGGTGGAAAAAAAAAACCCACACACACTCTTTTTATTTTGTTTTTCTGTGAAGTGTGTATCAGCAGAACTGACCACTTTGGCTGAACTCCTGACTAAAGTGGAACCTGAGACCAGGTCTGTATGTTCCAAAGAGGATCCAGACGCTCTCGGCTGTCTGACCCGCCTCCAGGATTGTCTTGGTGCCCTTCAGCCGCTCCTCACCTCATCCATCAAACGGCTCGCTGGGCGTCAGGGCCTCCAAACAAAAAAACCGGTTGGATACACTTTTTTTAAATTTTTTTTTTTTTTTTTACTGCCTTTTATAAAAGCCACGTTCAAATAAAATAATCAACTAAATTTAGTTCAGGGCAAATCTGGCCCAGAAAGCGTCCAGATGTGGGCCGTTGTACAGTGATGTTGTCCTGCCAACCTCCATGTGGTCTAAAGTACATAAACAAATGTGGAGTTTTTACATGTTTTATTTCCACAATGTGCTGCTTTTGGTGCTGTGCAACGTGAATGTCACAAAAAACAAAACAAAAAAAGCACAGATATTTGGAACAGTCCATGTGGCCCAGATCTGGCACGGAGGTGTGGACCGCTCAGTTTATGTCAGTTGATGTTTACTGAACACGACAATGATAAAATAATGCATCAAAGAGCCAGGTACGGGACACGACAATGATAAAATAATGCATCAAAAAGCGCTAGGGCCAAGTACGAACTCTACAACTTTTGCTGCGTATCGTTTTTCTCCCTCAGTTCTTCTTCAGGCGGCTGAATATTTTGGAGGAGTTTGAACCAAAATCCACTGAATCCTTCCCGTCTCTAACGGATGGTCGTGGTCTGGAGCTGACAACATCAGCACAGGTCTGTGTTTTTGAATGTGTTCTGCCATAATGTGACCTGAGCCCACAGAGGCGTTCAGTCTCTGTTGAATTATAACGTGCTTATTATGAAAAATGAACTGCAGTGTGAGACAGAACTGCCAGAACTGACAGAATGCCAGTCGTGATTTTACAGCCATCACACTGAACAGACCGGTGTTCTGCTGAAGAGCTGGACAAAACTGCTGTTACTGTGATTGGACAGCAGCTGGTCACATGACTAAACTAAACCCTCAACCTGGAAGAAACATGAATCCACTTAATCCGAGCCTGTTCCTTTTTATTTAGTTAGTTTAGCTAACGTCATATTAGCCTCACAGCTAATACTGGGGGAAAAAAATCAGTTATTTTGTCCAACAGTAAAATACATTTTCTCAAGTTTGCAATACATTAAAAAAGCCACCTTTTTTAAAAAAAAAAATTAATGTAATTCTTAATTCTAAAACCTTTAAGATATTTCAGCAAAGCAAAAATGAAAAAAGAAATTCCAGGCTTCATATTCAAACAAATCCCAGCAGAGCAGCATCAACATTTGTTTAACTTCACAAATGTAAAATATGTATAATAATAAAAAATAAAGTGCTACTTTTACCATGGTTTAAAATGTTTATTCCTCCACACACTGTAACTGTAGTTCAGCTCCATACGGGCTCTGTGTTTCTGAACTTAATGCTATTCTCCTTAAACTCTGCAACCCCTGTCCCCCTCCCCACCCCTCCATCCACCCCGGACGTCTCAGCGGTGTGTCCTGGGCCGACATCTGAGGGAGAGTCCAGGGGAAAAAGCCAAGCTGCAGCAAGCATCCTGGGCCTGGCTTCAGGGGATAACTCACCTCCTGGAAGTGGGCGAAGAGTGCATAAAAGAGAGGCAGATGAGCCAGGTTCAGAGCCGTGGCCAACTTCAAGACGTCCTCTGCAGACAGCAGGTATCTCACTGAGCTTTCAGCAACTTCTTCAGGAGCCAGCAGAAGCTCAGAGTTAAAGAGCAGGTTTCTTCACATTTCAAGTGTGAAGAAACCTCTTGATGGTTGTGGAGAAAAAAGAAAGTTCAAAATAAACTCCTGAAAACTAACGAGCAGACCTGAGGCAGAGATGTTCAAACCGTCCACTGTTGTTTGTCGTATTCATCAGAGCGTCTTTGTGATCGTTTCCCTTTCTCTTTCTGTCTTGAACCCGGTCTCTCTCTGGTCCAGAAGCTCCTGAGGATCCTCTGGTCTCACCTGGCTTTTGTGCAGCGTCTGTTCCAGTGTGAATCAGAATCACTCCAGTGTCAAGAGGATGAGAGGCTTCAGCTGGAAGTCAGAGCCAGAGCGTTGCAGCAACAGGCTCTGGGACAGGAAGTCGCTGCTCAAAGGAGGCTGCAGGTTTGAAGCCCCACGTTTGCTGTAGGCCATGAGTTTCCAGTGTAGCTCCTGAACACACAGGTTTAAAATAGAAGCGTGGGATTTCCCCCTCTTCAGGAGTGGACGATCTGGGAGGATACCTGGGGCCGACTGGGGCCGAAGCTGGATGAGGTTGAAACCCTCATCAGCGGTGGAGATCCGGGGGGAGACGACGAGGAGACTGGAGTGCAGCAAAGACTGGAATCTTATCAGGTGAAAAGAGGAGCACTCGAACGCAGCATCTTCACATGTTAGCTTCTCACTTTCTCTGCGTCTGTGTTTCCCTCCTCTGACTTTTTCTTTGTTAACCATGAACCTTTTCATATGTGAAAATGTGAAAACTTTTTTACGTTGAACTTTTGTCTTTTCTTCTCTGCTGTGTTTGTCCCTAAAAAACCCTGTTTGTTTAGGTGATGATTTAAGCGATGCACAGACATTCAATCAGATGAATGAGAAAAGAAAAAACAAATTGTATGAAGGGAATTTACCTTGTTACTGAACATCAGCAGCATCAGAACAAAACACTAAATAAGAAAAAAAAAACGTTTAATCTAATTAATCACAGGATAGCGGTGGATTGTTATTAATTATCATCAATCAATAGATCAATTATAATTTATTGAGATAAGTTAACATTTTTTAAATCTAAAAATGACCATGTGATCATGTGGTCACTCTCTCATTCTTCTCCCGCTCAGGAAACCCTGGTGCAGCTGGAGCAGAGCAGACCTGCTGTGGGCCAACTCCTGGACCTGCTGAATTCAGAGCCGCCTTTAAACCCATCAAGCAGCCGGCCAACAGGAGGCGCTCTTCTACTGCGCTGGAAAAACGCTCTGAGACGGACAAAGCAGGAGACTCGGCGCTGCAGAGACGTCCAGGACACCAGGTCCAGGTGGGACTGGAACACAAATACCTGTTTTTGTCCTTACTCTGCTTTATTATCTACAGTTTCAGGCCAGGCAGGTATAATTATTGCCTGACCAGTCTGACAAATGTTCAAATGTCTGGAAAAAAAACACGTCAGCAATTTTTTTTTGGTTTTTTTTTTGTTATGGACATAAAATAGAAAATGTCAAGTTGAAGTGTTTTCTCCACGTCAGGGTTTTAAAAGCTGTTAAAAAAAGACTGTCGGGACTAAATGGGTTTGTTTTTTTTTTGTTTTTTTTTTCAAACCTTTTACTTCCTACTTGGCCTCGTTTAGAGAGAAAACTGAAGAAATGTAGTTGTATTCATTAGTATCAATGTATGAAGTTAGGAAAGTGCAGTTGTATTTAACTTAACTCATTAAAATAAAATGCGTTTTCCTTGTATATCAGACAAGAAAGACAAAATAACAGTTAATTCTGCCTCATACTCCTGCCTGTAGGTAGCGCTAATATATCAGTGTATTCTTATTAAGCACAGCAGTAACAGAGGTGATATGTCTTAGTTAGAATAAAGGAGTATTCTGGTTCTGCTCCGTTGGATGGTACGATCTTTCTCATCCTCCCCGCAGATTCCACTCGGCCTTTTCCTCGCTCAGTAATTGGCTGCTCGCTGCCAACGAACGTCTGAAGTCGTGGTCAGAGCCGGAGCCACAGAGTGTCCACGACAGTCTGATCAAGATGCTGGTAAGACTGGCGTTAAAATGTTAAAAAAATATCAGCAGCTGTAACGACCGCACCGCCATGACGGCGTATTCAGCCGCACTCCCGTCCTCGTTGTCTCTGGTCCAGGATTTCTCCGTGGAGGTGGAGGCCGTGTCCACTCAGAGGACGTCTGCCTGCCGAGAAGCCACTCGTCTGATGAACCTGAGGGACGCCGACTGTCCTGAGCTCAGATCTCAGATCAGCCAGCTGGAGGAGGCCTGGAACCAGCTGACCTCTGACCTGTCCGAGACGCAAGAGCAGACGCAGAAGGTGCTTTAAGACGTCTCTAGTTTTCTCCCAAATCCTAATGTCATGGTCCATAAACCAGTGATGATGTTCACCTGACGTCACCAAAGTATTACAGCTCATCAAACTGCTGCTGTTTATCAACCGTGATTAAAGTCTGGGAGGTGAAGGGAGTTCATCACACACAGACACACAGTCCACATTCAGATAAAACAGCTTCTGTGATGTTGGTGGAACGGGAGTCTTCACCAAGCAGGAGACGGACATGTCGTCATCCATCACCACTGAACAGAGACATGTTTTATCAGATTTAATTAAAGTTATTATTTGTGGCTCACAGTTTTGGCGATCACTTCAGAGGACGAAGAGATATCTCCAAACCTGGATGAAAAAAAAAATCTCGTTATATTCAATGAAATAAACTTTTAAGCCCAGTCCTTGTGCTTCCTGTTGTCTTTTCAGCGTCTCCTGGCTCGGCTGTCACCAGAGGAGCTGCTCCCTGACGTGGACGCCTGGCTGAAGAAGTTGGAGGCTTCAGTCCTCCAGCAGAAAGAAGCGTATCTCAAGGCAGAGAACGCTGCAGAGATCCAGGAAGTCCTTCACAAATACAAGGTCACTGTAAACTACAAAATCAGTTAGTGTTTTTATCATGAAGCAAAAACTTTATTAGTAATTGATTAACCTTCTATTTTCCCCCAGTGGTGTGAAAAGTCAATAAATGTTTCCAGTATATATTAACCAAATCTTGGACCAAATTAGTGTAACGTTTCTGAACTTCTTTCAGCACAGAAACTGTAACTTAATTATTTGTCATGTGTTTAATTTTAAAAAAAAATTTCAGGCGTTAAAGGCGGGTTCTGTCAGTGTCCAGCTCCTCCTGGACTTCTTCTCCGAGTCTGGACCTCAGGCTGCAGGAGCAGACCTCCAGGTTCTCAAGTCTGAACGCATCATGTTTGCAGAGAAACTTGATGACATCAGACACCAGTGCCTACACCTGCAGGGGGAGCTGCAGAGCCAGGTGTGTGTTATACAGTAGTAGAGTTAACTATCGTCCTTTCCTCACTTTTACTCATGGATGAGCCGCTCTCTGGTCTTCTCTCTCCCAGATCTGTGGAGCTCAGCACCTCCATGACACGTGTGCCGTCAGAGAGAAGAAGCTGGAGCGTCTCAGTGGTTGGATCGAGGAGCAGAAGGAGCAGCTGAAGCTGTGGGAGCAGCCCACCAGTCTGACTCTGACTGGGAGAACTCTGGCAGAGTGGGAGGTAAAGGCAGCCGTCAGTTTGTCATGCACCTCTTTGCTGCTCCTCCTCTTCCTTTGGTCTCAGGTGTTCCACCGGGATGTTGTTGCTCCTGCAGGTGGTCGGAGACGAGGTGAAGGAGGTGGCTGGGAGTTTGCAGGAGTTGAAAGCCTCACGAGTGCATCCTGAACAGGAAGAACTGAGTCCCTGTGATGCTGCCTTCTCAACAGAGGCAGAGAGAGTTTCTGGTGCCTGTGTGGAACTTCAGCAGCAGGTAAAAAAAAAAAAACCTGCAAAAAAGAGAACCTGCAGTAAATAGAATTAAACAATAACTTTTAATTATAATTAATTTCTAAGGCCGTCCTTTTAGACCAAATCAGACTAAGTGTCCTGCACCACTGGCAGAAATGCAGCCCCAAACTCATACAGAGCGTCCTGCTAATTGACTGATTAAAATTGAAAAACAAACTGAAAAATTAAACTGGCAGAAATGCAGCCCCAAACCCATACAGAGCGTCCTGCTAATAGACTGATTAATATCAAACTGAAAAATTAGAGAAAAGAAAAAAAAGTGAAAAACAAACAGCATCAAAAAGATCAGTTGAGCTGAGACATCCTCAAGAGGAGCAGGAAGAAGTCTACAAAAAAGTCTTTTTTTATTATAATTTGAATAATAAACTCCTGTTTTTGTTAACTTTGTTCCCATGTACTTTTGTAAGAACCACATAGAGACCCTCATTTAAAAGAAGTGAAAAGAAAAACTTTGGTTGAACAGATGAAAAAGTCTTGTACGACATGGCTAAAATGTATGCTATAAACAGAAACATAATTAAAATCAGCTTCATAAAAACTGTAGTTGACTAGGTTAAGAGTAAATTATATTCTTCTTGCCCTAAACTGCTCTCCTCGCAGGCTGAAGTATCAATATATTTATGAGCGGTTGTTGAAGTGATGCTCAGTGTCACCGTCCTGCTGAGAATGATCCCTCTGACGGCCAGTAAGCGTCTGTTTTTATGTCCTGCTGCTGTTTTACTTTTACTGCTCTCTGCTGGAGCTGCTTGTTTCCAGCTGCTGAAAGAACGACTACAAAACCAGCACACAGTGATGGTTTTTTCTCAACCACATCTGAGTCCGTCTGACACGTTTAGCCGATGGCGACACCGTTCACAATAAGCTTTTTTTGTTGTTGTTGTTGTTTTTTTTCTGTGAAGATGGAAGGTTTGAAACCAGCGCTGCTGCAGACTGTCGAGGCCTGGACTCAGTTGGAGAAAGATGTCGAGCAGTTTGGTCTGAAGACCACGGAGATGCGTTGTCTTCTGCGGCGTCTGCGAGCTCCTTTCTTCTCCCTGGAACAGGCAGAAAGTCACACGGCGCTGCTTCAGGTGAGTTCCAGTTTCTTCTTCACTGCTTTTAACCTTCAAGGTTCTCTCAGCACTTCAGCTAAAGTAACTCAGGTTCTGGTTGAAAATACATCTGTACAAGAGAACAAATAATTTTTTTTTTAATTCCCTTTTTGCAGCAAGTCCAAAGGAAAGCAGAGAAAGGAAAAGAGTTTTGGTCAGATGTGGAAAAATCACTCCTGAGTCTGGTGACGGCTCTACATTGTCAAACTGCCCAGGCACTGAGTGACCGAGTGAAAGGAGAGCAGAGGAGGTCAGTAACAGAAGACAGACAGAGGTCAACGACAGGTCATCTGATAGAAATAGATTAGTTCATATATATGTAAATATATAGATATATGAACTAATAACCATGACATGTAAAATAATGAGATGTAAGGTGATCTGTGATTTTATATGTGTATATAGATATGTATGTTTATATATATATGTGTGTATATATGTATGTGTATATATATATTAATATATATGTGTATATATGAATGTGTATATATATGTGTTTATTTATATACATGTATGTGTATATATGTTTATCTGTATATATGTATATATATGTAAATGTATATAAATATGTATATGTACCGTGTATGTGTGTATATATGTATGTGTATATATATATATTTATATATATAAATAATTCCTAACGTCTTGTGTTTGTGTCAGGTGGCAGGACACAGTGCAGCAGCTGGAGGAGGAGTGTGTGAAAAGTGAAAACACGGCGTCTCTGTGGCAGGAGTACAGTCGTCTCCGTGAGAGCTCCTCCGCTCGACTAGAAGGTTTGAGGCTTCAGTGGGAGGAGCTGCTGGATTCTGTTGTGGACACACAGGCCGTGGTCCACACGGTGGAGGTGAGTTACACCGCAGTAAAGTCCCAGACGGACTGAACAGGGTCAGAACAAACATTTATCTCTCCTACCGTGATCTCTTCTTATCTGAACCAAAGGCGTACTTTTGGTCACTTCCTTTTCCTCCCACATGGTTTCATCAGAACACCACTTTGCCAATTCCCTGAGAACATGACCTTCTTTGCAGAAGATGTTTAGTTGTGCCTCATCAAGAGCTAAGAGTTCCTCAGATTGTTGTAGTTGAAGTGGCTTCTGCTGATGCTGAGGTTTACAGTCAGAACTTCTCAAACTCACCGCTGCTGCAGCGTCTGATTCACCCTACCCTTGCGTTACACTCAGAATTCAATTAAAATGGATAAATGGATGGGAACAGGCAGCACTCTCTCATGGGCAGAAATATATCTGCTGTGGCCTCAGTGTTGTTCGTACGCCGGATCTTTCCCACTAAATGCGTAGACCAGATGCTGCAGGATGCGCTGTTTTGAACATTCTGACCATAAAATGAAAAAAAACGCATGGTTAAGGTCACCCCCCTCCCCCTTACCCCCCCCGTTTTTGCACTCCTGACTGAAGTAGCACATCGCAGGGTGTATTTGGGAAAGGTTGAGTCACAGCCATTCGTTGAAAACAAGGTTTTTCGTTTCATAAACCAAGAAGAGCAGCTGCAGGGTTTAATGAGACGAGTTAACAAAAATGATGCAGTAAAACTGCTAATTTAATCATTAATATTCAATCGTACTTTGGGCGAAAGTAGTCAGAATATCTGGTTACTTCATGTTTGTATCATTAATATTCAATCGTACTTTGGGCAAAAGTAGTCAGAATATGTGGTTACTTCATGTTTGTGTTATTGATTTTTTTATTTTTTTTATTCTTTCATGTACACCAGAACTTACAGGAGGCTCTGGACGACATGCAAAGCGACAAGAAGAAAACACTGGAAGCTTCCAAACGTCTCATTGCACAGCTCGAACCACTGCCTGCAAATTTGATCCAATCAGAGAGCAGCTCCCTGTCACGAGACATCCTGCTGCTGACTCAGGCAATTTCAGGAAAAAAGAAAAGCCTGCAGGCAAGGACAGCACTAAATTACATTAGACTAAATTCTAAATTTGAGTAAAGTTTTAGTACCTTACATTTCTGCTTGTGTGTGTGTGTGTGCAGGAGGATTTAATAAACCAAAAACATCTTCATACAAGTTTGGAGACCCTTGAAAAGCAGACACAGAACATCAGAGAGAAACTGAATTCCGGTTTAAAAGACAAAGACTCAGTAACGGTTGATTAAATTTGTTTTTTTCTTCATATTTCTAAGTACTTGAACTGTACACGATGAGTTGAAGTAAAGTTTTAAGTTGTAATATTTCCTGGTTGTATAGCAGGTTCTGTCGGCGCTCCGTGTTCTCTCTCCATCACTGATTGATGCCAGCGACCGTTTGACGGATGACAAACGGGACGCAGAGCAACTGCACGCGCTCAACAGGAAGTGGATCCAAAGCTATAACCAAGCATTCGACATGAACAGGTGAAGATTAGACGGGAAATGAAAAATGTGTGTTCTTAACACAGTAATCATTTTAACAGAGCAATAAGAAAAAAAAAATAGGTCAATTTATGGGACAATTTATATATATATTTTTCCCTATTTACGGAGCTCATGCTGCCATGTTTTCCAGGAAGCTTCAGTGTGAACGTCAGCGCCCCCTAACCTTTCAGGACAGGTGTGAGGAATTGACAGGTTTAAGAGATAAAATCCAAGAGGAATCCAGGAAACCTCAGAGTTTCTGCTCTCATCAGGAGGTTCTGAGTTTTCACCAGGTACTTCACACACTTCACACACCAAATAACAATAAAGATGAGCAGGAACCAGAACCAGACACAAGTTTAATTATATGTTTTTTTACATCCAGGCAGCAGCAGAAGCAGCAGCTGCTACGATAAATGACTATTTAAATCAGAGTTCATCATTTGAATGTGAACAGGTCCCAGTATTTGTCAGTGCGTTTCCTCCTCCACAGTCTACGCTGTAAATTAACTGCTCAAGCATTTGGTGCTAGTTTATGTCCTGAGGACGACGACGTCCAATGAAAACATCATTAGAGTCCAGATAAATGACATCATCAGCACAGACTGGGTTTAACACATCACCGCAGTCAGGACAGAGACTTTTCCTTGTTACAACTTTAACACTGATTTTTCTTACACAGAGACTCGAGACCGAAGTGAACACCGGCGACCGACTGTTACGGCAGATTCTCTGTGACGCAGTGGAGTCCATGGGAAACGAGACGGACGAGAAACGGTACGGGGAAATGTCAAGTTACGGACTTTTCTTTAAAACACGTGTGTGTGTGGTTGTAATACAAAAGGCTTTGAGTTTCTTGATACAGACCAAAAAAAAAATCATTCCTCAGATTCCTCAGACAAACAGGTGTAATTCTACTTTGACGTCTTTCATCTTTCTCTTTTCCTTCTGCCTGACGACTCCATCTTTATTTTTTATTTTTTGTTTTTGCCAAATATGTCCACAAGTCCAAATGATCTCTGCCAGTGCTGCTGCTACTGATCACTTCTCTTCTCCTCCCGTCCAATCCACTCACTCCCAGTGAAACATCTGAATATGTTCAGCTGCGGTTCTGCTTCCTGTCTTGTATGCAGTTCTCCCGTCTCCCAGCCGTACATCATAGCAGATCTCACTACTGTCCCATAAACTTTACATTTCAACTTTTATCCTCCTTTTCGCCTTTAATTCTCCAAAATAAAAAAAAACCACAAATGAAGTTAGACCTTGGACAAAAGTTCACTTTTTTTTTCTTTTCTTAGGTTTGATCGTAAAAAAGTCCAACTCACTTGGAACGCTGGGTGTTTTGAGAGGCTGGTTGTCATTATACCACGGTCCAATAGTTTATGATTTCACACTGAGACACTGAAAGGATTTAAAACTGATTTTATTTCCAGTAATGTCATAATACAGTCAGAACAAGAGGAAGAAAAATAAATTGTTATCACATCTCGGGGAGTCTTTGACTCCTGGGCCTCTGTAGAGCTGTGACAGAACAGAAGGGGAATATGTCACTGTATGGTGTCCATAAAGATATGTCCTCGTTGTTCTGGACTAGACAAGACCCTCACCTCCTCCTCAATAAAGATATGTCCTCGTTGTTCTGGACCAGACAAGACCCTCACCTCCTCCTCCTCAGTTTCATATGTTCCCATTCAGTGCCGAGGTTTATGGTCTGTGGACAGATGAGATAAAACTTGATTATTATTTTTTTGATTTGGCAACAACTTAAAACAACAAAGATCTTGTGAACGCGACTTTCTCTGAGGAAATCTTGAGTTGAAATTAGTCAAAAACAAGGATGAGTTCAAACTGTAGCATTTCCTAAGTCCAGGTTATCAGTAGGTTATCGCTCGGTGGAGTTATGGCCCTGCGCTTCTTTACGACTAGCTTTTTAATAAAGTTATAACTTTCTTTTTTTTTACGATTACATTCCTCTTACACGTTAAGCGCTCGCTGACGCACGACCAAAGATCCAGTGTTTGCAGGTGTTTCCTTCATCGCTGCAGCTTCTCGTCTTTTTTTTTTTTGTTTTTCTTTTTTCCCTCCGACGCTGCCTTAAATCATCCCTCGCAGCGTGAGGAAATCTTGGACAGCTCCTGTGGTTTTAAAGGCATCCAAAGGAAAGTACTTTCTGTTCCCCCTGCTGGGATCGCTGCTTGAGATTTTACGACCCTCCTAAAATTCTGCTGATTTTGTGTTGATGTAGCGATCGCCTGGTTATAAAATATTACAGACTCACTTTTATACATCTTTTCTCTTTTTAATACTCCTTACTGCCAGACTTTCACTCTTCATTTTTCTTGTCTGAGAAGAAATTTCACTTTTCAAAGGCCCTGATGTTTTAATCACACTAATTTCTGCGTATCAGCAACACAACTTTGGGATGTTTTGCATGTTTTTACATTGACAGTGAGTGTTCACTAATGTATGACATGGTTGTCCGCAGGTCTGACACGTTGGCACAAGCAGTAAATATGAGGGAGCGCTGGTTCAGTGCCGTCGCTGAGGTTGGACGCTGCAGGTCAGAAGGGAAAGAAAATCTCAGGCGAAGAAGAATCTACCGCCGCGGCTCCAGAGTCCTGTGGAGGCTGCTGACCCACGTCAACCTTCTGCTGCAACCTGCACAACCTGTCGACTGTGCAGTGCAGCAGCCAATCAGCTGTGTGGATGATGACCAGGTTAGCTCAAAGGACATGTGTAAAAATGAAGGGGAAACAGAAGAGAGACAAAGCTGGTGACAGGAAAAAGTCTCAAAACTTCTGTGTTTTTGGTTTCACTGATTGAAATGTTATTTTCAAACACCAGAGGGAGTGTTACAATTTTACCACTTAAGATACATCTGCAATTTATTACTTTTTTTAGGGGGGAGGGGTGATGGATCGAAAACACATCAAATCAACAGACAAACACGTTTTTCCCCGAGTGGGTTTTACAGAAAATAATAAATAAATGGGTCGTGAATGAAGGCTTTTGTTAAAGGTTTGGTGATAATCTTCTCAGGAAACTCCATGACTTGCCCTCACTGTGCGGTAAGCTGTTGTATAACTCCTGTTGTCAACACTACAGGGTTTCATTTCTGAATAAAACCGAGGTGTTGATGCAACACTAATGAGTCAATCTGTATTCCTGTCAACAGGGATTCTGCATTTACTAAGAGGAAATCTAATCCATCCTCACGGCTCTGTCTCCTCTGATCATGAGTCATTTTAGGAGCGAAATTACATTTGCACCAGGAACGGAGTGGGAAAAAAACAAACTTCAAATTTTCTCTATTTCTGTTTGTTTACAGTGTGTTGAAAAGGTTCTGGATCTGCACTTGTCTGTGTTTAACCAGACACTGGAGGCCGGGAAGACGTTATGTGAGACGATTACGGACTCAGAACATCAGAATCAACTACAGTCAGAGCTCCAGGCCCTTGCAGAGACCTGGAAACAGAGTGTGTCACTGCTGCAGGGGAGGAGAGACCTGGTCCAGAGGACTGTCCAGGTAACAGCTGTGGTCAAGTTCGTCAACATTATTGTTATTATAATCATATTTTTAAAAGGTGAGTGTCAAAGTAGATGTTCTTAAGACGAGTGAAACAATCCTGATTGTCATCAACTAAAGATAAACAGACGTTTCAAACAGTCTGAAGTCTTTTTATCATGTTTAACATCAGTAAGTCATTCATTATTGTTGAGTTTCTTTAATCAGTGGTTTGTGTTTGATTTTTTTTTCTTTTTTTAAAGACATGGTCTCAGTGTCAGGACTCAGCATCCAACATCTTGACCCACCTGGACCAGGTGAGAACCAGGCTGACGCGGCGGCTGCCAAACGAATCAGAGGAGTCCGAGGAAGAGATGTTTATGAAGGTCAATATTGAAGACGCTGTGTCCACCATCTTTGTTTTAATACACAGTCAGCTACATGTCTTTAATAACACACACCCTGCAGGAAACGTTTTAGTTTCACCAAATCACCTCCAGCTTCAAATGTCCTCTCATTGAGACTCAAATCTGTCACCTCCTACTTTTTAGATTTTAATCAGAGATTGGCTTATTTTTATTTTAAGTTTCATTACCGCCACCTGGTAAATATCTTTAACCATAAATGTCCTAAAGACTTGAGCAGGAACTTCCTGTGGCCCAGCTGTACTTCAAACAGAACAGGAAGTTCTAAGAGTTCTCTTCCAGTAGTTTCCCCACCCCTCAGTGTCATTAGCAGCTACCAGCCAACCCCAGCAGAGAGCCTCTGGGTTTGCCCCACCGCCCCCTCTTGCTTTATTTAATACCCCATGCTTTCACTCCCCTCCCCCTTTTGACCCCCTTTCTCCCTCCCCCCCTGCCCTGTCCTGTCCAGAGCCTTTTAATCTGGCCGCTCAGAGCAAATGCAGTCAGCAGAAGAAGACGTAGAGAAGCGTGTGCACGCAGACCGTGAATGGCTGAAGGCCTGACTGCTGAGGTGTGTTACAGTGCGTGTGTGTGTGTTTCTGTGTGTTATGCAGGAGACACAGGTGTCTCTGCAGCGTTTGTCCACTGATCTGAGGAGACTGGGAAGCATGAAGACGGACCTGTCTCAGTACATCGCGGCCGGCGACTCGGCTCTGCTGGCGCAGCAGCTGGAGCAACTTCACCTGCAGTGGGAAGAGCTGTGCACCAAGGTGAGGAGATGATGATGATATTGATGATGATGATGATGATATTGATGATGATGATGATGGAGAAAGAGAAACAGCAGCTAAAGTAGTCGCCGGTGCCGCCAGAGGTTTTTCTTAGCAGGGACACAAAGGCTAAGCAGAACTGGGGAGGGGGGGGCGGGGGCCACACACTCACACACACACTCTCACTCAAAGTCAAACTCACAGAGAAAGTAGTCAGCGTGAACATGTTCATGGAGGGAAGCCCAGGATTCTGCAGGGTTTTCTAACTGCACTCAGTTTTGCAGGAACAATAATCTACATGGCACTTTATTTGAAAGTCTTAATCTGCACATTTACCCCCTCCCTCCTCCCCTCACACTCCCCCCTAAATATTTTTTTAATTCTTCCACTGTGTTACTAGTGAAAGTGGCTACAGTTTGTTCACAGAGGCTTAAATTCCTGCAGTTAAATCAGTGGGATTTGACCTGAATGCGCTCTCGTTGCCCAACAGTTTTCCCACAGGCTCAGGATATTTGTTGCACATTATTACAAACCTGACTTGAAAACTGTTGCTTTAATCTGTGATTTTTTTGTGAATGAACCAGAAACTTTATCAAAAGGCAAAAAAGAGGCAGCGTTTTCACTCAATTCCATCGCAAGGTTTCCTTCCTGCACATTCAGCAGTTGTTTCCACCTTTGACCATGTGTTTGTATGGATTACTTCAAACTCCTGGACTACATTTGCTTTTATGTAAAAAGTACAAGCTTTTGAGTTTGGTCTCCTATAGTTTTTTTTTTTTTTTCAAAATAAGAGCATGAATAACTTGACACAAAAATAACAGTTTTCTCAAAAAGACATGATTAAAAACGCTATAAAACTGTGGGAAATGACAAAATTATTTTTAATTGATTTGACTGCTGGAAAACTTGTCATTTTGTCATTGTGTTTAATTACTTTTCAGTGCAATTACTTACTTACTTAATTACGTTGCTGTTGGGTCACATTTGTTGTCACTCTCGTGGCTGGAGGCCATGGATTTGAGTTTCCTCGGCAGAATTAACAGGTTGCAGGTGGGGGGACGCTGGAATGGGTCCAGCCAGCAGATGGCCTGAGTCTAAAGGGATTCTGAGGGGGAGGGGGGGAGGAAGGGGGTGGCTCTATTGTTCCCCGATGAGCACAAAGTCCTCAGAGGGTGAGCGCTGCTAACAATGCTCCGTAAATCCTCCAGAGTCCAGAGAGAAGGAGCTGACAGTGTGCAGTACATTAAAACCAAAGCAGGGCCCATTTAAGTCCAATGAATGACAAGGAGCAGTAAAACATAGATGCTTTAAACAGTCACTAAC